TTGTAGATGGGCAAGCACACCAATGTTCTTTAAAAATATTTTGCATGTGATCAATCTAGTTCCTCCTGGTGCTGGTTTTAAAAAAATAATCCACTTGATATATCTTCTCTCTATCCCAGAACCATTATTCTTGCAAATTCTCTTCCTACTTGGCAGTTTCAAAAAGTATTCTTTGCATCTCTTACTGATGTATTTTCATTGTGTACAAGTCGTGCCGTTTATTTAGATAAACCCTTTGTTTAACTCTTTCACTTCACTTTATTTCAAACAAGCCTTCAGTTAACTTGTAAAGCTGTGTCAAATATGACAAAAATGCCCCCCCCGGGGGGGGGGGAATCTCATAAAAAAGAGACTGGGGAAGAGACAAATCAGAGCCAAAATTAATCGACCTAAAAGACGCACACCGTAACCCCTCCCCCCATGCCAGCCTAAGAGTCACCCGTGGGCGGGCAGCGCCTGCTCCCTGCGGGCTGGGTTTGCCCCACAAGATGCTCTGGAATGTCTGCAGGGCAGATTAAAGAACTAGCTAGCTGAATTCTGTTTCTTTCAACTAGCATTTGATAAAAATTGTGGGGTGTTCATGATTCTTCAAAAATGCCCAACACGAACTTCTGTTGCTAGGCACAGGGGCAGCCTGTCTCGTTGTTCGCCACCCTGGCAGGCGGAGGGATCCTTCTGAAAAGCTGCTCTGATCGTTTTCCTCCCATAGGTCAAAAACAGAAAACTTTGTTGACTTTGCAGTAGCCCAGAGTGGCCGGGTGCCTCCGTGTAGCCTTGTTAAGCTCTCTGACGAGCGCCCCCCCGCGCCCCGCCCCCGCCCCCGCCCCACCCAGCTGCGCCCCGGGCGGGAGGACCACGCCGCGCTCTCGCTCCTTCGGCCCTCCTCCTCGCCTGCTGCTCCCTGCCCTTGCTGCCCGGCTCCCACCTCTCCGCTGGGTCTCCGTTTGAACAGCATTTTTCCTAGAAACCTTCCCCCAGCACCCCGCCAGCCCCGCACACCGCCCGTCCGTGCCCGCACACAGCCCCTTCCCCTGTTGCTCCGGCCTGGTTGCTGCTGCCTCCCCTCCGGGGCGCGTGCTCCCAGGGCGGTGCTCACCTGATCACATCCCAGGTCTTTTTCTTCTCTTCTCCTCCTTTTCTTCTTTTCTCCTTCCGTCTTCTCCTTCTCATCATCTTCCTCCTCTGCTCTTCCTCCTCCCCCTCCTCTTCGTCCTCCCCTCCTCCTCCTATTCCCTCTTCCTCTTCCCTTCCCAACTATTTTCATCCCAGGGAAGGCAGGAGAAAGTTAGGCTACTTCCACAACGGGATAAACTGAAGGAGCTTTCAAACCCAGCCGGAATCTGCAACCAGGCTGAAGATTCCAGCTCTCGGCAGACCCGAGAAATAAGGGAACCGGTAAACCCTATCGCAGGACTGTGCACCACCTACAAGGTGGGGGAGGGGGAAACTCAGGATTAGGCGAGTGAGCCCTCAGGTGAGCCTGAGCACAGGTCCTGTTTCCGTCGTTTTACTTGGTGACTCAGTTTCTCATCTGTAAAATGAGGATAATACTACCTCAATAAATGTGTTTTGCGTTGTTACTTTTTGTTTTGTTTTTAATGCCGTACCTGGTGTTGATACAGGTTCTGGAAATAGGCTTTCTCTGATATTGCCGGTAGAAGTGTCCACAAGGATTAACGCTGGAGTATAGACAGGTGGTTCAAGTCAAAATCCCTCAAGTGTTCAAAATCTCTAAAACCTGGCTCTACAATCTCACGTGTGGGAATTTATCCTCGGAATTTATCCTGATCGCTGTGCTATGAACAAGTCTGTCTATAAAGTATTCATCCCAACATTATTTCTAATTAAGGAAATGGAAAAATACTAAGTGTCCAAACAGGGTATATTGATGGACTTAATTGTGGTATATCCATAGAATAGGCCACTGTGTAACTATTAACGGTGACCATGTACAAGAATTCTTAATGTTACAGGGAAATTATTAAGATCTATTGAAGTAAAGTAAGTAACAAAACCACAATTCATTATGTTCTGTTATTTTTTAAGTAGATATATTTCTAGGAAAAGGCTAGAAAGAGATTAACCAGTATGTTTCCCTGAATAACTAATTTAGAATTTCTTTGTGATTTTTGGTAGTTTCAATTTTCCTGAAATAAACATATATTGCTCTTAAAATACATTTCAGGGAAAATAAAGCATCACGAAAATAAACCTCACAGAGTATGCAGCCAGAGCCCCTTTGCCCATAACGTGAGAAAGGCGTTCACCAGTTCAGGCTCCTGGGAGCGGGAGGGGCCGGGTTCCTGGAGGGCCGAGGTGCTGAGAATGGCCCCGGCTACCTGGGTAAATGTTTCATCTACGTGCCGTGTCAGCCTACTCAGTTTTTACTCAGTTTTTTTTCACACCCCTGAGCACACTGATTTAAACACCAAAATTAAGCCTCATATGAGGTTTTCTGTGATTTTGAGAAGGGTCAGAAATGAAACTAACACATAAAATTGCCTATCTCAATAAATTAAATTCATGTGTGCTTTTCTGAAAGCACTTTCATAACACTAGTACTTTGGAATCCAGCTGGCTTCCACAGACCTTGGAGAAGGAATGAACAACCTCCTTTTTTCTTTTTCTTTTTTTCTTTCTTTCTTTTTTTTACACAAGGTCCAATTGAGGAAAAATAAAAATATTTATGAGCTACATTTTTCTCCCACCCAAAATAAAACTAGCTTTTTAGAATCCCATAGGAAAAAAAAAATCTGTTCTTATAAGCTATAAACTACATTATTGGAAGAAGAACAACAGTTGTAATATTTGCACTGCTTTTTAGCCATCTGAATTCTCTCTGCGCACGTGTCAGATGAACACAGAGGCATCATCCTAAACTTTCCTCTGGAAAACTATGGTGTATGCTCTATGGGGAAGCCAGGTGAGAAGTCTGTGTCAGTGGGCGCTGAGATAGAGTTGGGGAGCAAACAGGAAATTGAGTCATCAAGGAAGTAAAGACACATGTAGTATATATACTTCATCAGGACGTTTGGGTTTAAAGAGGGGTAGTAAGGACTTTGGTGGAACCGGGAACAATGTAATTGAGCTGAGGATGCGAAAGGTCAGTAGACAGGGGAGACAGAAGATAAAGACAGATTCCAGAGGACATGAAATAAAAGTGGAGTGTTTATCTTTACAAATGGAGATGTTGTGTTCCTCCAAATGGGAGAAGGGTACGGCAGTAAAGATGAGGGTGCTTGTCGCTGTTACGGAAACGGGAAGGAGAGCTGCTGCGGGTACGAGGGGATGAGTAAGTCTGGAGACTCGAGGAGGCTGGAGAGGAGCTAAAACTGCCGCCGAGGAGGAACAGGAAAGGGAGCCTGTCCCCCGCAGCACCAGCGCAGCTAGCGCACCCTCGACCTGGGGCCCGCCCGTGCGGTGGTAGAGCAGCCTCCGACAGAAGTGGGGGCGCTGGGCCATTAAGCAGATTCAGAGATGGGAGCGGTCCGGGCCGGAACAGTGGGAGGAAAGGCAGAGCAGAGACGGAGGGGGCCGTGGGGAGGGCTGTGGGAGTCACTGACCACAAGACCTATAAGAAGAGGAACCGGGCCTGGGGGTAGAGATTCACCCTCAGGGTTGACCATGCAGTAAGCATCTTGACAACAACATGTACCATGTTCTCTTTATCCATCAAAACTGCCCCCCGCGTGGGGTCCGTCTCCAGGGCAGAGTGGTCACAGGTCGAGGAGAGAGTGCTGGGCACCTTAGCAGAGTGGGAGCTGGAGTTCTCCAAATCACCGCCGGCTCTGTGTTCTGTTTCCCTGACTTCGCTCGGCGTTTTCAGCGGATGGGCTCTCCTGTTCTCGCACCCCCGTTCCCAGCTGAGTTCTCACTTTTAACCACAGGGCTTCGGCCCTGCCGTGGGAACACTGCGACCCTGTGCATAGGAGGTATTATCTCCTGTGCAGCGGAGGGCAAAGGTTGTCCTCCTTGGGGAACTGGCCGTGGCCAAAACCAGGACTCCGAGAAGCTGCACACCGTGACCCTTGCTTCCCAGTGAGCACGTTGCGGAGTCTGGCTGAGTGGAACCACCGAGTGCTCAGAGGCACGATTATGGCCTCTGTAAGGAGAAGGCAAGCTCAGCAACCTCCTGGAGGTTTCATAAGAAAGAATAAACAAACATGCATAGAATCAGGAACTAGTGGATCCAAGTTATGTAAACTTTCAGAAAGTCTTCCACAAGATTCGACACAAAGTTTACTCTAAAAAAAGTAGACTCTCGAGAATCAGCCTTATAATCATCACTACCATTGTATAGTTTTATTTGACAATTTTCTTTTCCCTTTATGACACTGTGACCTCCTCTTGGAAGTCCTGTGTCCACGACCCAGCTGTGGCCCTGGCACCGCAGAGCAGCGCGTGTTGCCGCACTGGCACCATGCTGAGCCTGTCATTTATTACAGAGGGGCACCCGCAGGCACTCTGCCATGGCCACTATCACCAATTAGGTGACACTTTCCAATAAGGTATAAATAAATAGCAGAACTACTTCCAGAGTTAAGATGCTATTTTGTGCCCAAGTCTTATAATACCAAGTTCCACATGGTTTATCCATAGCCATCGCTCACTTTGCGCTGACTGTAAAACAGAACTCTGCAAAACAGGCACGTGTCCGCCCTCACTTCAGCCCCCTGAAGAGAAGGGGGAATTAGGCGACCACCTCTCCTGTACAGGTGAGCCAAGGGAGGCCCGCACGTCCCGCAGCCAGGAGGGGCGGCACCTGTGTCCCAACCTAGAGCGCTCACCCCTCCACACCAGCAGAATTCGCTCCTGCAGACTCCCCCCTCCTGTGAAGTCCCATAAAGAAGATGCCCCGTAAAGGGAGAGGCCACGTCAGCTCTGCCGCCTGGGTCACTTTGACATGCAGGGTGGATGGTTCTCTCCTCAACAGCTCTGATTCCAGCGTGTGGCTCGCTGGCCTGCGAAGTGATGGCTCTGTGTTCTCTGCTCTTCCCCAGCCCGTTGCTCGCCGTGTCCTTCGCCACTTGCTGTGCTGTTCCGGGAGTGGCCCTTCTGACCTGGGGGGTGAACCCACTCACAGGAGCGCTGGGGCTCTTCAACATCTTCCTGTACACCTGCTGCTACACCCCCCTGAAGCGGGTCAGCATCGCCAACACGTGGGTCGGAGCCGTCGTCGGAGCCATCCCTCCCGTCATGGGCTGGACGGCAGCCACGGGCAGCCTCGACGCTGGTGAGTGACACGCGTGGCGCAGCTTCTGCTCAGCAGGACACACGGCGCGGGTGCCCGACCCAGGGGCCCAGAGGCTCTTCTGGGAGCGTCAGCACACGCTGGCCACGGACGCCTCCTTCCCCGACCTGCGGTGCTGGCGTCAGAGCCACCCCGTCGGCGCGGGCTCTCGGGCAGCGCACGGCTGGGGCGGTCTGAGACGCTGAGCTAGCGGGAGACTGGGTCACGTTGGCTTTCCTCCTAGACTTGGGGGAGCAGTGTTGTCTCAGCCTGTGAGGACAGGTACGCTAAAAACAAAGTACCTAAAAACCACCAGCCGCGTTAGCACTGGGGATGCGTTCGGGGGGCGGCCCACACCGCGGAGGTGCCTGGTCCCAGGCCTCCCCGCCCGTGTCCTGTCGGCGGCGCGTTCCCGCGTCGCTGGGCCTGCCGCATTAGCTCTCTGCTCCCGCAGATTTGGGCATTTCCCCTCTTAGGAAAGAACAGACTATTTTCATTAGTTTCTAATTTATTTTTATATGATTTGCTTAAATTGTTCATGCTGTCTACAGTAAAACCATTGAGACCTTCCTACATTTTTTTGGTGGTATGTCACAACGAAATTTGTGGGGTGAAGTAGCCCATTTTTACCATCTGTAAGGGAAGTTTCACAGCCTAATTAGTCAAGTAATTAGTGTGTTTGACCGACACTTAGGAAGGAAGCGGTGAGGTTTCCTGCAATATATGTAAGTACATATTTTTCACATGAGAGATCAAAGGCAGTTGACCATAAACCGTTGCCTGTAAGCCACATTTCTGAAACTTTTCATAGAAGCTCTTAGACTCTGATTTGGCAAGCTTACTAAGATGATTACACCTTCACCATGATTGTCTCTTAGAATGGTTTTCATATCCTGTACATGTTGGCATTCCGTGAATCTGCCAGTACAGTCTTCTACAATGTGCATGCCTGTCTGGTCTCGTCCACGTGGGAGGCTCGTTCACCACAGAGCCAAGTGCTCAAGAGCAAGGGCCGGGGTTTGGCGCCCAGCTCCAACCATGCAGTAGCTGGGCGCCCTTGGAACGCACTTGACCTCATTATGCTGTTGTTGCCTTGACTCCCCTAGGTGGGGCTCATAATGGTCCCTTCTCCTTGTGTTGTGAGGATTAAGTGAATTATTATTAAGCACTCCTAATTTATACAATGGGTAGATTGATACAGATCAAGAAAAGTCATGAGATTTTATTGGTATATAAACTTGGAGCAATGATTGTTACCTGGCTGTTGTTTAGAAGACTGGGGTGCCTCCCAGCTTGGTGGGAGAGAATACCGGGCCCGTTGGTGCATCTGCCCCGGCTGCAGGAGGGACAGTGGACCACATCAGTCTGACAACCCTGGACGAGGTGACGTCTGAATTTTACCCCCTCCACCCCCCAGTTTTCGATGTAAATTTAAAGAGTACGCCTGCACACCACCCAACTCCTGGTCAGATCCGTCCTCCTCCTCACTTCTGCCTGGAGCCTCAACCTTGACTTGATCCAACCACCCTGTCTCTCCCCTAAGGCATCTCTCCGCTTCCCTCCTGTCCCCCCCCCCCCCCCCGACCTTTCTAGTGGTTGCCCAGCTGTGCAAGGTGGGGACCGTGAAAGAAAAAAACTTCCAGGCCCTCGGCCTGAGCATCATCCCACCAGTGGCGATGCTGTGCTGCTCTACTTCACACTCGCATGCCCTGCTCTGAGCCACTGCCTGGCCCTTGGAGACAGCCGTACCCAGTCCTGATGCCCAGGGCCCTATTCAGTCTCCTTGAAGCTGGAATAAGGGAACAAGGCACCTCAAACTGCCTTTTCTATCTAGGGAATCCGAGGCATGGCCAGGGTCAGGGTCAAGTATGACAGCTGCAGGGACAGGAACCCCAGGAGACAAGCGAGGGCGGTCGCATCCAGGGCCATGGAGAGCTTGGCGCCTCCATTGGGCAGGGTCCTGGGACCCAGGTTCTTGCTGAGGGCTCAATGCCCTTGTACTCCTGGCAGTGTCCTGTGAAGAGCTGGAGCCTCAGCGTTGGTGGGCTGGCGGTGCGTCCTCAGGGGCCAGAGAGAGAGAGAGCTTGGCAAAGCCCTGCCTCTTAGGACCTCCCACTCGAGAAGGAGTCCTCACCGTTCAGGGACAGTCTGGATTTGGCTAAACTGCTAATAGATGTATTTTAAATAAAATTTTGGATATAGTCTTTCTGTAATCCAAATTTAAGAAGGACAGCTAAGAGCTAGGCTATCCCTTGTTTTAGGTAGAATGAAAATGCATATTTATCTTGAAAAATGAGACAGATCATATACCTGAACTGGCCCCGGCCTAAAGTGGAACAGTCTGCAAGAGCTGTGCGGCTGCAGAGAGAAGGGCCTTTGGCCGCGTGTGAGATGGACTCCTGTTTCTCTCATTCTTAAAGACGCATCGCCTGACACACAACAATGACACGGTTTGCTGCCCCATTATCACAGGTCAGGTTATACACCTAAAGCCTTGTCGAGTTCGTACCGAAAAAATAATGCTGCTTTACATAATGCTTCAAACTGCTTCAAAGAAAGTTTCAAAACATTATATTGATAGATCAAACTTGAGATAAGCGGAAGTCTTTGAATGAATGAGTGGGTACGTGAATACCATTGATTTTTACAGATGACAAAACTAGGTTAATCCATGGTCAATTGACAAATATTCACTGAGGGTGCCATACAGAAGGAACTGATAAAAAAGTATCTGAGGGATTCTGGTTTAAGGATTTTTATTGCTGGGATTTTAGGAACTAGGTTGAAAATGATTTGATGTAGTTTTGCGAGCGTCTAGAACTGCACTGTCTAATAAGGCATATACTGGCCACATGTGGCTTTTTAAATTTAAACTGAAACTAAATAAACTTAAAAATTCAGTTTCAGCCCCTTCAGCAGTATTTCAGCTGTGGCTACTAACTGCCACACTGACAAGGCAGACCTAAAACATTGTCATCCTCACAGAGAGTTCATTTAGCTAGCACTGCCTGCAGGAGAGTCCAGCCTTTTGGCTGCTCTGGGCCACACTGGAAGAAGAGTTGTCTTGGCCCCACCTTTAATACACAAACACTAACGGAAACTGATGCACAAAAGAGAGGTCTTATGTAGCCCTGGCTGGTGTAGCTCAGTGGATTGAGCGCTGGCCTGTGAACCACGGGGTCACTGGTTTGATTCCCAGTCAAGGTACATGCCTGGGTTGTGGACAAGGTTCCCAGTTGGAGGCATGTGAGAGGCAACCACACACTGCTCTCTTTCTCCCTCCCTTCCTCTTTCTAGATATAAATAAATAAAATTTAAAAAATTTTTTTAAAGTTTTTAAGTAAATTTACGATTTTGTTGGACTGCATTCATAGCCATTCTGGGCCACATGCAGCCCGCAGGCCGGGGGTTGGACAACTCCTGTTGATATCCTTGTCAACCTGTGTGCCATCTTCCTTGTGTGCATTTGCACTTTAAATAGTAGGGCCTTGTGAGAGACTTTTCCCGTGGTCTAGCAGGAGTCTAAAACAGCCATTCTCAAACTTGAGTGCATATCAGAGTCACCTGGAAGGTTTGCTAAAGCTGAGATTCCCAGGCCCACCTCAGGGCTTCTGGCTCAGCGGGTCTGGGCAGAGCGTAGGATTTGCATTTCTAACAAGTTCCCAGGTGATGCTGATGCCCAGGTGCAGAAACACCGTGCTGAGAACTACCAGCCTGAAAAGACAGAAGCGGAGAGCCCTGGCTGTTAGAATGCCTTGGAAACACCTAGGGGCTGGGCGAAGGGCCGGGCAGATGGCGGTACTTGTGATGCATGAGCGGTGTCATTTGTATTAACCACATAGAGCCTGTCTCTCAAATGAGTTTTTATGTTAGGGGACTTGTGTGCTTGAAAGAACCCCTCTAAGAAGGAAAAAAAAAGGCCCCCAGTGTTTCCTTTCTTCAGCAGTATCTCCAAACCATGTTATTTTTGAACCTCCAAAGACCGATCACTTTGGAGAAGCCTATGGGCAGAGGAGTCCGGAGTGGGAAGGCTGTGTTGAACTGTAGTGACAGGAAGAGGAGGGGAGTGGCAGTGGGGAGGGGAGGCCGGGAGGTCGCCCTCTCCGGAGCAGCCCGCACAAGGAACTGCTGCCAGCGGCTCACTGCCTTGATCCATGGCTTCACTGTGCAGTTGTCTGTTGAGGACCTACTGGGTGCTGGGCACTGAGAGGTGCAAATATACCAAAATCCATGCCTCACGGAATCGCGTCTCACTCAGCGTCTTTAGGTAATGAAATAATTGACTGAGCTAAGGCTTTAGCAGGAAAGGGGCCTTCAGAGGGCTGCCAGCCGATCTAAGAAGGCTTTGAGCGTGATGACTTCTGAACTAAGCCATGGTGAGCTTACCTGAGGAGGGGAAGGTGCTTTCCAAGAAGAGGGTGGAGCAGGTGTACAGAGGTTTGCAGCCTTGGGAACCAGAGCAAGAGGGGGAGGCGGGACAGGAACTGAGAAGAGCCGCCCTCAGAGCGGGGGAGGCGCTCCCGCTGTGCGGAACAGCCCGGCAGACCACCCCCCCCTCCAACCCCATCCCACCACCCCCAGGCCCGAGCGGGAAGGCCGCAGGGCTCGCTTCCAGGAGGTCGCGGGTTGGTTCTGCCTTGGTACTGGAAGCAGTGAGCTGCTGAAGCCCACCCGTATTGTCCGCCCAAGCGCGGGCGTCTTCTCTCACCTCCTGCCCTACTGCCGTCCCTAGTCAAAATTCATCCTTTGGGTATTTAGCAAAGCATCCGTCAGATCGTCTTTCGAAAGAGCGGCTTGGAAACACCAGGGACCCTGCCGGTGGGAATGAAGGGTAAATGTCCGAAGGACGACAGTTGCACCGAACGTGTTCCATGCCTTTGCCCCGCCTTCCCTGGGCACCACATACCCAGTGCTGTCCTTTGTCCCTCGGTCCTGTCTACCTGTGCAGAAGCCCTTCCCCTGGCTCAGCAGATGGTGGGCAGGACTGGAGAGGCCGCGGCTCA